GATATCTCGACTTCAGTCACCTTCTAACCGACGTGACGTGATTTGCTTCTGTCTTTTCTACAAATATTTTTATGGCAATTGTTCTGACGTGCTGTTCTCTTTGGTACTTTGACTGCATGAATTTAAGCAATGCTACGAGATTGGAAATTGAGTCCCAACGTTTTACTGTTGAATCAGTTAGATGCAACCATTAATTCTAATCTAATAGATTATTTTCTTGCAATTATCACCTGTGGAATTCCAATCCGATTTCATACAATCATCAAAGAATTAAACGCAGCCTCATCCACCATATTCTGTCTTCCTGAATCCTGCCCCTTTATTGTTCTTTCCTCACATCTATTCACTAAAGTCTTCTAATGATCTTTCATTCCCTGTAATCCCCTGCGTCCTAGTGACATTCTCAACATTATTATTGTTATTTTTATTACTGTACTTATTATCCTTATTACGATTATTAACGTTATTAAATCATTATTATTATTATTATTATTATTATTATTATTATTATTCCCCACACCAAAATCATCTGATGACCAACTGTAGGAATTGAATATATATATATATATATATATATATATATATATATATATATTCTGATTTTAGGAGGAGGACAACTCTGAATTCAAAACCTGCTTGGGGACCGTGTGGCATGTAGTGTATCAGGTCTCTGTGATCGTTCCTTCAAAAAATGTGGTTGGTTTTGCACAAAACTTTCACCACTATAATCAAATGATATGTGTGTGCTGGTGCCTGGGCTGTCGATTCGTAGGAAGTGAGCTGCTTGACCCTCATACGTCGAATACAACATATATATATATATATATATATATATATATATATATATATATATATATATACAAATATAGGTAACTATACTCGTTTCGAAAAAAACCTCGAATATTTGATTTGACGATCCACTTAGGTGAAACCTGGGTAGGTTTCTCTGGCTCACTAGGTTTATCTATCTATCTATCTATCTATCTATCTATATATATATATATATATATATATATATATATATATATGTGTGTGTGTGTATTGTGTATGTATGTATATATATACGTATGTATTTATGTATGTATGTATATATATACGTATGTATGTATGTGTGTGTGTGTGTATACAAATGTAAAAGAACGAAAATAATATAAATTCAAACTTTCATAAGATTAATTTAAAAAAGTGCTCAATATAAGAGTAGAGCAATTGGCTAAACTGGTATCAACAATATCTCATGTCTTATTTTCTTCTTATAAAATTTCTTCTTTTTCCTTTTTTCTTTTCTTTTCCTTCTCAGTGTATTAGCATTGATTTCTTATTCTTTCTTATGGTCTTTCTTTTTTCCCCTCTTTCTATTTCTTTTAATTGATTTCTTATTCTCTTCCTTTTTTTTTTTTTTTACTTTAATCTGTTTTTTCTTTCTTTTCCTCTTATGGATTTTTTTTTATATATTTGTTTCTTTGCCTTCTATGGAAATTTTTAAAAAATGTAAAAAGAAGTGATGTTTCATAAATTGTATTTTTAAATAAAACCGTTTATTACCACCGATGATAACCACCTGATGAGATTTCTGAATTAGACATCGAAACAAATATGCATTTTTGTCATGGTAACTTGCATATTCCAATGTAACAGTTTATAATATATATATATATATGTTTGATACAAAAGAAAGCAGAGAAAGAAAGGTTGACAAAGTGTTATGTAAAACATATATATATATATATATATATATATATATGCCTAATTTTGTTTGCATGCCTTTTAATCTTCCACTCCCTTAATCACTTTTTCCTTTCGAGAGATTTATATCTCCTTCGACCCCACTTCTGCTACCAACTCCTCCTGCCACCAATTTAAACTTGCCTCCTCTTATGTGGGCATAAATTAAAAATAATAATACTGAATTCTTCTTATACTTGGAATATTTGTCACCTATTTAGTTGTATGAAAATGTTGATATGAGGAATTAGAATCGAATTTATATATATATATTATCTTAATATATATATATATATATATTCAAGCAGATTTCATTCAGTAATTTAGACACATTCTGTCTATTTATTCTCGATAAGATTCTTTCATATTCGCGAATAAGCTTTTTGTGTGGTTGTTAAAAGACGAGAGGAAGAAACCGTGTTGGCTCATATTGTATTTATTTCGAGTACTTTCGACATAGCATAATGTCATCATCAGGGTATTGTTAAATATAGAATATTTAGTGTTCATGTTTGTGAGGCACAAAATAACATCTTGCTAATGTTTTATGTAGATAAATGTTTATGTCATATATACATATGTGTCAGAGCCCACGCGCGTGTGCCTGTGCGTGCATGTGTTTATGTATATATCGATGTACATAGAATAGTGTATGGATGTATATGGATAAGAGGCCTAAAATGTAGTGTGTTCTGTGGATGTGTAAATGCAATTTCGACAATATGAATGTGTATATGAGTGTTTGGTCCAAAATTGAGAGCATGTGTATTTGTGTGTGTGTGTGTGTGTGTTTATGTGTATATTTTCAAAAGACTGCTTAATCAAGAGAATGTACTTGTATGTGAGTGATTTTTATGGTTGAAAGAGAGTATATGTCTGTGTGTGGTTGTGTCCAAGAGAGAGAGGGAGGGAGAGAAATAGAGAGAGAGAGAGGGAGGGGGAGAGATAGAGCTTGCATTAAGGAAAGTTAAACGGAAGGGCAAAAGAAGTGGTTGTGTATATAGTGTTTGATTCGATGTTTATATTAAACTAATCCCTACTCAGTACGTTTTAAGGCAAAACAATAGCGACCAAGATGTTCAGACGAGGAAAGCCTTAGTGACAACTAATAACTTTACTAATGGAAATACGCAGATTCCTGAATGAAAAGAAAGAAAGAAAGAATGAAAGAAAGAAAGAAAGAAAGAACCGGAAAAGAATGACTGGACATAATAGAATTTTTTTAAAATAAGAAAGTAAGAAAGAAAGACGTGACTAAGTACTGAGAAACATTTTATGAAACGTCAAACAAAATAAATGAAAAGTTTATTTAAAAAGGAGAAATGTAAAATGGGAAAACGAAAATAAAGAATATTGACAGTAGAAGAGGCAGAAGAGACGCGTGGGAAAAGGGAGGATTATAGCTCCGTGTTTTTTGTTTTTTTTGTTGTTTTTTTTGTTTTGTTTTTTTAACTTTTCAAGCGAGGAGGTGAAAATAGTTATGAACGCCAGAAATTTGCATCAAGTTTTACAATATATATATATATATATATATATATATATATATATATATATATATATATATATAGATAGATAGATAGATAGATAGATAGATAATATTAGTGGTAAATATATACACATACATATGCAAAATATATAAATATATATACATACATGCATACACATGCATATATATTTTTGAATAAAAAAAATCCAAGAGGATAGAATCCAGGTAGAACTCAATGTCCAGGACAGAGTAAGGATATAATAAAAAAGGCTTAAACACTAATATTCCATGGTCATAATTGGAATTATAAATACGATCCAATTCATCAGACCTACAAATTCAAAAAAACCGCTTTTATATATATATATATATATATATATATATATATATATATATATATATATATATATATATATATATATATATATAAAAAGCGCTTTTTTTTTCTCTTTTGAGACTGATAAAGGATAGATAATGGATAGCGGTTTGGATTGAGGAATCGAGAGCCAAGTTCGAATTCCAGTCGAATCGATTACATTCACTTACGTGCTAATATCCTTGGGAAAAGTATGAATCTTCTTCTCCCCCAACTATGGGTAAATAGCAGGACAGGCCGAATTCTATGGCCTTGGATGGTCTACCGTAGAAAGAAATAGCAACCTACTGCGGGAAAAAAAATCTGCGTCGCCTAAGTGTGTATCACGCATGGCACATAAATGTCAAGTCTCCCAAAATCGTAAATGATTAGCCAGAAGGCATTATGGAGATCCACAAAGGACAAAATTTATAGAAATTATTTTGTAATTATAACAATAGACTTCTTATGACAGGTCCTCATCAGAAATATTTGGAAGGGATTCTTGATCGAACTGAATTGAATTGATTGAATTGAATTCATCGAGCCGAGAACTTTACATCTTTCGCTAATAATATATTTTATTCTGATGTGCCTCCATAGTACCGTACGTGGCGTACCCGATGCAGTAATGTATTAGTTTTCTCTTCTGCTGGTAATCATTTCTGAACATTGATGTTATACTATTTCCTTTGTCTGGTTTTGATGTCACATTTTTAATTTCCTTAATATGGCATATTTCTAAATTTCCTTCATATGGCATATTTCTTAAGAGCGCTACTTGATGGTTTATATGCGAAATTATAATTATGTGTCAGGTACGAAAGATTGGCAACTAGGGCATTTTTATTCATTTTTTTATCTTTAAATTCAGATGTTAAGTTCAGATGTTATATAATTGGTAATTAATTCAAAATCTGTAAAAATGTACGTTTTCGTTAACTTTCTTGATGATATGGCAAATTTGGGTCCCGATTTGAAAGTTTCTGCATTTGACAGTTGATATGATGATAAGTGCAGTATCACGTCATCAAAGGATAAGAGCAGCGTTTTATAGTTTGCTAAATTTCTATTCTAGTTAGATTATACAGATCGAATTTTTACGTTAGCCTATTGGCGTTGCAAAATCGTTCTGTCAGTCACAAAGTGATCATTGCATGAAAATTCTTTTGAAATCGATGTTCTCACAGGACATAAATCATTTACTCAGTTTTTTTTTGTTTTGTTTTTTTACTTTCTTATTTTCCAATGTTTTCCATTTATTTCAGTTTCTTTTTTCTTTCTTTTGTGTTAAAATTTTCAAATATATTCTTTCTCGTTTTGCATAACACGTTTTCAACTTTTCTATTCTTTCCTTTTTATCAAACATCTTCAAGTATTCTCATTTTTCATAATAAGTTTTCAACCTTTCTTTCTCTGCTTTCTTTTGTATCAAACATCTTCAAACATTCTTTTCTTTTCATAAACACCTTTCTTTTTTTGCTTTCTTTTTATCAAACACCTTCAAACATTCTTTTTCCAACCTTTTTGTCAACCTTTTTCTGCTTTCTTTTGTATCAAACACCTTCAAACATTCTTTTTCCTTTTACATAACACTTTGTCAACCTTTCTTTCTCTGCTTTCTTTTGTATCAAACATCTTCAAACATTCTTTTTCCTTTTACATAACACTTTGTCAACCTTTCTTTCTCTGCTTTCTTTTGTATCAAACATCTTCAAACATTCTTTTTCATTTTACATAACACTTTGTCAACCTTTCTTTCTCTGCTTTCTTTTGTATCAAACATCTTCAAACATTCTTTTTCCTTTTACATAACACTTTGTCAACCTTTCTTTCTCTGCTTTTCTTTTGTATCAAACATCTTCAAACATTTTTTTCATTTTACATAACACTTTGTCAACCTTTCTTTTTCTCTGCTTTCCTTTGTATCAAACATCTTCAAACATACTATTTCCTTTTACATAACACTTTGTCAACCTTTTTTTCTGCTTTCTTTTGTATCAAACATCTTCAAACATTCTTTTTTCATTTTACATAACACTTTGTCAACCTTTCTTTTTCTCTGCTTTTATTTTTGTATCAAACATCTTTAAACATTCTTTTTCCTTTTTACATAACACTTTGTCAACCTTTCTTTTCTGCTTTCTTAGTATCAAACACCTTCAAACATTCTTTTTCCTTTTACATAACACTTTGTCAACCTTTCTTTCTCTGCTTTCTTTTGTATCAAACATCTTCAAACATTCTTTTTCATTTTACATAACACTTTGTCAACCTTTCTTTCTCTGCTTTATTTTGTATCAAACATCTTCAAACATTCTTTTTCATTTTACATAACACTTTGTCAACCTTTCTTTCTCTGCTTTCTTAGTATCAAACACCTTCAAACATTCTTTTTCCTTTTACATAACACTTTGTCAACCTTTCTTTCTCTGCTTTCTTTTGTATCAAACACCTTCAAACATTCTTTTTCATTTTACATAACACTTTGTCAACCTTTCTTTCTCTGCTTTCTTTTGTATCAAACATCTTCAAACATTCTTTTTCATTTTACATAACACTTTGTCAACCTTTCTTTCTCTGCTTTCTTTTGTATCAAACATCTTCAAACATTCATTTTCATTTTACAAACTTTCTTTCTTAGTTTGGATAACACGTTTTCGAAATTTCTTTCTCTTCTGTCAAACATTTTGAAAATGTCTTTCTCGTCTTGCATAACACGTTTTCAATCTTTCTATCTTTTCTTTCTGTCTTTTGTGCCTAACTTTTTCAAACGTTCTTTCTCATTTTCCCTAACAAGTTTCCTTTTTTCTTCATTTCTCCCATTTTACGTATTGCTGCCCCCCCTCTCTCTCTATTTCTTTCTATATATCTCATGCAATTAAAGCAATAGTTTTCTCTTTCAATCCCTCTTTCTGTCTGTCCGTATGTCTGTCTCTCCCTCTACATATACATATATATATATATATATATATATATATATATATATATTCTCTTATCTCTCTTTCCCTCTTCCTTCACGCTCCTTTTTACCACTCCCTGCCTATACCATCTCCCTTCCCTTCTGCTCGTTCACATTCCTCAATAACCCACCACATGTTTCCCTCTTCTTCATAAGCGTCGCATCTCGCTTTTCTCAGTTCGAAATACTCCAGCTTTACTTAGTCTTTCTTTACCCTCACTCTATCAACCACTTAAAACCGGTCCTTGCGAAAACCCGGTAGAAATCGGAATCAAGTGTTTAAATGAAGACCAGATGCGACATTCAGTAAGTCCAGCGGAGATTTAAGAAAGAAAATGTTTGCAAAGCGACGCTTAAAAAAAAAAATAAAAAAAAAAAAAAAAAAAAAAACAAGAAAAAACAGGAAAAAAAACGCGATGATTTGCTTTGGCGAGCATAGCTCAATGGTCAGGACTTAAAAACGAAAGCTTTAAATGCGAGTATCTAACGTTCTTGCTTCATAATCCCGCCTCACACATACGCACGCACACACACACACACACACACACACACACACACACACACACAAATCATTTTAAAACCTAACTTTACTTCTTTTTTCATTTCACGTTTTTCCTTGCCTCTCACCAATATGGCTGATGCTAACCTTCATGAAAGTGACGTGTTGCGCCTTCTAGGCAGACATGAATTGGAAAGATTATATAGAATCCAAAGCTAAGTCTGCTGCTAAGAAAGCTCGTTCTTTGTGTCGCACAAGACAATTTTTCTCTCCTGAATCTATCTTCAGTCAGTTATGTGCCATGTGTGATACACTCTGCCTCGTCAGTCATGTATCTTCGATACATGACTGACTAGTAGGTTGCCATTTCTTTCTGCGGTAGACCAGTTGCCGTCCAAGGCTATAGAACCCGGTTTGTCCTGCTATTTACCCATAGCTGGGGGAGAAGAAGAGGACTCATACCTTTCCCAAGAGTATTAGCATGTAAGTGAATGTAATGGATTCGATTGGAATTCGAACTCAACTCTCCGATTCCTCGCTTAAAAAGATGCTTACTATAATGTCCAGGCCTCAGGACAGTTTTCAATTTTTATCATGTTTGATACCATTGAGTGTTTTCATGGTCCAACAACCCTAAAGTTTCAGGGCTGGTACAAAAAAAAAAAAAAAACAGATAGCTAACACTGGCGAGACGAACCCCCTTTAAAGAGGCGTATGATAAGTGAAGTGCGTTGTGGATATCGTTCTCTGAATGAGAAATCGGAGAGCCGAGTTCGAATTTCAGTCGAGTTTGTTACATTTACTTAGGCACAAATACCCTTAGAAAAGGTAAGAATACGTCTTTTCTCCCTCCAACTATGGGTTGAATACCAGAACAGAATGGGTCCTATAGTCTTCGTTGACTACCAGTCTACCGCAGAAAGAAATGGCAACCCACTTTTGCCTAGTTTTGAATCGAGAGAGACATGATCGCCCAAAGGTATATCACGTATGGTATTTAACTGACTTGACTAATGCTAAACCTATGAATTGTGTATGGATATGTGTTATGGTCCGGTTCCTTGTACCACGGTGATAGTCCAAGGTAGAACCAAATAAAGAAGAACGCGAACACACGTATGGAATAACACAGATATATTACAAACAGGAATATATACAGAGAAGTAGAAATGTTAGTATGAACAATCAGGTTTATTAGAGAGAACAATGTAGTCTCGACCAGTATCACTATTCCAATGTCTTGCAGTAATTGTCTAAACGCGACTCTGTTTCGGACTGCCTTTGACTCGACTCTTGACTCGACTTGAACTACTGACTCGGCTTGAACTACTGACAATATTCAGTCACCCCCCCCCACCCCACGAGGGTGTCATGTGGCACAAGGCCTTTTTAACGTGGGCATTCCCGAGCCATTAGGCTCGGCCAAAAAATAGCCCATTTGAACCCGTATAAACGGGTTCAGGGCCGGTTTTACCTCCCCAAAGGAGACTCCGCCCTTCGGCGTAGCCTCCTTCGGGTTCCTCCCGCCCGTAGGAAGAGAGTACAACCGTGCAGTCGGTTCAAAACTTGAACTACTGACGATATTCAGTCACCCCCGCCCACGAGGGTGTCATGTGGGCAAAGGCCTTTTTAACGGGAATTCCGGAGCCATTAGGCTCGGCAAAAAATAGCCCATTTGAACCCGTATAAACGGGTTCTGGGCCAATTTACCTCCCGAAGGTGACTCCGCCCTTCGGCGTAGCCTCCTTCAGGTTCCTCCCGCCCGTAGGAAGAGTACAACCGTGTAGTCGGTTCAAAACTTGAACGACTGACAATATTCAGTCACCCCCACGAGGGTGTCATGTGGCACAAGGCCTTTTTAACGGGGAATTCCCGAGCCATTAGGCTCGGCAAAAAAAGCCCGGCCCATTTGAACCCGTATAAACGGGGTTCTGGGCCGATTTTAACTCCCCGAAGGAGACTCCGCCCTTCGGCGTAGCCTCCTTCGGGTTCCTCCTGCCCGTAGGAGAGAGTACAACCGTGTAGTCGGTTCAAAACTTGAACGACTGACGATATTGAGTCACCCCCCACGAGGGTGTCATGTGGCACAAAGGCCTTTTTAACGTGGGAATTCCCGAGCCATTAGGCTCGGCTTAAAAAATAGCCATTTGAACCCCGTATAAACGGGTTCAGGGCCAGTTTACCTCCCGAAGGAGACTCCGCCCTTCGGCGTAGCCTCCTTCGGGTTCCTCCCTCCATAGGGAAGAGAGTACAACCGTGTAGTCAGTTCAAAAAACTTGAACGACTGACAATATTCAGTCACCCCCCACGAGGGTGTCATGTGGCACAAGGCCTTTTAACGTGGGCATTCCCGAGCCATTAGGCTCGGCCAAAAATTAGTCCATTTGAACCCGTATAAACGGGTTCTGGGCCGATTTTACCTCCCCGAAGGAGACTCCGCCCTTCGGCGTAGCCTCCTTCGGGTTCCTCCCTCCGTAGGAAGAGAGTTTAACCGTGCAGTCGGTTCAAAACTTGAACGACTGACAATATTCAGTCACCCCCACGAGGGGTGTCATGTGGCACAAAGGCCTTTTTAACGTGGGAATTCCCGAGCCATTAGGCTCGGCCAAAAACAAGCCCATTTGAACCCGTATAAACGGGTTCTGGGCCGATTTTACCTCCCCGAAGGAGACTCCGCCCTTCGGCGTAGCCTCCTTCGGGTTCCTCCCCGCCCGTAGGAAAGAGTTTAACCGTGCAGTCGGTTCAAAACTTGAACGACTGACAATATTCAATCACCCCCACGAGGGTGTCATGTGGCACAAGGCCTTTTAACGTGGGCATTCCTGAGCCATTAGGCTCGGCAAAAATAACCCATTTGAACCCGTATGAACGGGTTCAGGGCCGATTTACCTCCCGAAGGAGACTCCGCCCTTCGGCGTAGCCTCCTTCGGGTTCCTCCCGCCCGTAGGAAGAGAGTTTAACCGTGCAGTCGGTTCAAAACTTGAACGACTGACCCCTTGCCTACTCCTGAGGCGCAGTATTTATTAAGTATGGAATAGTCCATTATTATTATTATGGGTAAGGACCCATAAATATGTAACAGTTCTTATCGGATAGAGATAGTAATATATTTGTCGAATACAACTAAGTATTCTTTATTCTGGAATTACTCCTCTCCCAACTAGACTATTATTTTATTTTAATTATTTTTTACGTAGGAAAGTTTGTATTTAACCAAGGATAATGTATCGATTAGCAAGACCTGAAGAAAACTCACACCCTACTGCTGCTATGTGTGTGTAACAAAGCGTAGCATTAAACTTTATTTAGTGACCTTTTGAGTTCAGTACTTAATACCTACCTATAAAATAAACCGGACTAAATAAGAAAGATATAAATAACATAATTATTTCTGGGAGTTAGGTGGCCAGATGTAAGCGTGATGTAGTCACAGAAAATGTCTAACAGCCATGACTGGGTCCTCCTGTTTGAGTGTTATGGTGCAGAATCATGTTGCCAGACATAGGGTCATCCAGCAGCCACCCTCTTGACCCAGTGCAGCACTACCTCTTCGAAGCAATTGATGTAGGCCCCCGTGCTGAGTTTCAAGCCTTTACCAACAAATTCGGGAGGGCTTTTTTTATCAGAACGATCAGAGTGAGTTTTCCGATCTGCCATACCTTCGTAATCATCATTAGACTCATCCAACTCTTTCTGAATCCTCTGTACTGTCTTAAGATTGGCACCCAAATACTCTGAAATTTTTTTTTCTTCCGGCGCGAATGCCAAGCAGTACAGCATGCCGTTTCCAAATTTCTGGCGGAGAGAATTGCGTCAGGGTGCTTTTATTTCTCACAGACGGTGCACAACTATCTTACTGTGTTGTCGACAAAATAAAAAGGAAACAACGCACATGCACAGAATTAAAAAATATATAAAAGGGTGACAATTTACCCATCGCATCCTGATTATAATATATATAATATCAACCTGACGAGACTATTCCCGGGTGGAGCAGTGTTTTCGGAAGTGCTTAAAACCATTCTACGGGCTTCTCAAGCCTTCCGAGTGAATATGGGCAGACTAAACTGATCGGAAGCCGTCGACGGTTGTGTTAGCACGAATTCAGAAGTCATCGTGAACGAGGGTTTGTGCGTACTAGCATTGTTATATTTTTGATCACGCCAGATTATGCATTCTCTCCCAGAAACTTTAACCAAAGCCCACGCATCATAGTTGCAGTATAAACTATAGATTGGCTTTGTGCGTTTTGAAGAAAGAGAATTAGGACTAAGAAGGCTTCTGCGATAGTAAATAATTAGAGTAACTAGCTGATTCCTGATACAGACTGAAAGGAGTAAATAGTCATGTCTGTCTGTCTATATATATATATATATATATATATATATATATATATATATATATATGTGTGTGTGTGTGTGTGT